CTCATCTCTTTGTTTGTATTCTTCAATTTTCTCAGAGTTCTAACTTAAGCATCAAAGTGTTCCCGCCATGCAAGCTCGCTGGGAATTCTTCACCTTCCTCTTCGCCTCAAGTACCGTTCGTCACCAGATAAGAGCTAGGTTTCCGCCAGTTAGGAGTGTCCGGATCGCACAGCATCAGAAGGAGCCCGAAGATAAGTCTTACATTTCCTCTCAATTGGAATTTCGAAAATTTTAGCAATGCCTTTTTTGCAATTTGATAGGACTATTCTTAGAAAAATGGATAGCCAACTTAGAAAATTTTGGGCATTGACATGAGGCCTCAGGAAACTTGTCGAAAATATCTCTAATCTCAAGACAAGCATTGATAGAGGCACCATTATAAGACTTGGACTAGACAAAACCAAAATGCTTCTCGAGTCATGGGTTAAATGGTTTGATTGTGAAGTGAAATGGTTTGATCATTATTCACATATTTAATATATTTAAATTTTTTGTACAATATAGCACATCTTATGCATGGGAGGGGTGGTTAATTCATGAGACTTGCATTTTAAGTTTCAGAGCACGTACCCACCTAGACAGGTCATTAAAATTGGTTGAATCATCAAAACCGGTTGATCTTTAATAGTTCTGTTGAGTTTTGACCGGTTCTACCAGTTTTTCATAAACCTAAAATCCAGTGTTCTAAAAAACCGGAATGGCTTCTGGTTCCCGGGTCTAACGATCTAACCATTCAGATCAATTCGGGTTTTAAAATATTGGATAGAGGTATTTACAAATATAATGCAATCATTAACAGATTGGAGAATGGGAATTGAGGGACCATTCCTGAAGATTTTACAACCAATTAAATTACTATTATTCTTAGCCTTTCTTCCCAACTTCCTAGACAGAGCTTCAACATATAACACAAAAATGTATGGAGAAAAGGGGTCTCACTGTTTGATACCTCTAGACACAGCAATGTCCCTAGTTGGGGAGCCGTTAATAAGAATCTAAAAAGAAATAGTTCTAATACATTCATTCCATTACTCATTCAATCCATTTTCTGTGAAATTCAAAATTAGTCGAAACTTTTTCAATGAAATCCTATTTTAGACAATCATAAGCTTTTTCTATATCAATCTTGTAGGCTATAATTCTAAATTATTCCTTATTTTTCCTCGCAAAATGCAACATTTTATGAGAAATGATAATATTATTAGTGATTTGCCTATTAAGTATCAAAGTATTCTAGTAAGGGGATATAATATCAAGGAAAAGCTTGACTCTAATGACCAAGATATTTGAAATGATTTTTTAAATCACATTACATAAGCTATGGGCCTGAAATTATTAACCCTTTTAGGATTATTTGATTTGTGTATAAGAATGATGAAAGTTCTATTAAGTGTTCTATTTAATTTACCAGAGTTAAGAAAATGCTTGTACTGCACCATAAACCGAATCTCCAATCACATTCTAGAGTTTCTTAAAAACAGAGAATTTAAATCATGGGGCCTTCAGATCCTTAATAGATGACATAACATCCTTTATGAAGTTCATATTCATCTCATTTGATACGCATTGATTAATATCACTAATGAAATCTTCAACATTATTAGTTCCCTTAGACTTGTATCCTTCGAACTTTTTAAAAAATGGCTATTCATTTCTATAGAGTTCATAATCCACCCCCACTATCATCCTTTATACTAATAATTTTATTCTTGCTCCTTCTGATGGGTGTCAGAATATGAAAAAAAAAAAAAAAATTGTTCTTCATATTTTCCAGGTTTAGCCAATCTATTTTGATTTTTACGCCCAGAATACCACTTCACAAATAAGAATATTATCTAATTGCTTTTGGAGGGCATTCTCAAGATGAATAAGTGTATTTGGGTCATCAATCAAACATTTTTGTACGTTAACCTTACCAAATCATATCCATATTTTTCTTTTTGATTTTACCAAAATGAGAATTATTTAATTCTTTGAGTTTTTTGAGCAAGAGTATTTCTATGAGAGTAATGGTCGAATTACCTTGTTTGTCTTTCATTACTGATATTTATAGAGTACAAGAGTGGGTAAGTCCTGTCCTAGTTAGGATAGGTTAGATAGAATCTTAATTGGGATAGAGCTTATCTTACTAGGATAAGTTTATCCTTTACAGAGATAAGGATTATCTACAAGGGAGAGAAGTACATTAGGAGAGGTAATTACAGTACAAATTAAAGTGGGAGTCCACAAGGTGAAGGAGGAGAAAGAGGAGTTCCACGTGTATGTGCCATGCGTGCATGTGCTATGCACATTATCGTTTACACCCCCCTCAAGCACAATCGGGGGAGACATGGTGAGCTTGTGATGAAGGGCCTCAAATTGTGGAAGACCAAGAGGTTTGGTGAGAACATCTTCTATCTGATCCGCCGAGGGAATAAACCGTACATCAAGAAGCTTAGTTGCAACTTTCTCCCGAATGAAATGAATATCCAACTCAATGTGTTTGGAGCGAGAATGAAGTGTAGGATTGTTAGCAAGAAATTTAGCCCCCACGTTGTCGCACCATATTAAAGGAGTTGTAGAGAGGGAGATACCTAGTTCTTGGAGGAGCATATGAAGCCACAAAACCTCAACAGCCGCAGAGGCTAAGCTGCGATATTTTGATTCAGTGCTAGATCGAGCCATTGTAGGTTGCTTTTTAGAGCTCCAAGAAATTAGGTTAGGACCAAGAAACACACAATAACCACTCTATGAATGTCGATCCATAAGACAGCTACCCCAATCAGCATCAGAGTAAGCAACAAGAGAGAACGTATGACATGGTCGAAGAAGCAAGCCATAAGTGATGGTGCCTTTTAGATATTGAAGAATCCTCTTTGCAACAGGATTGTAGTAGGAGATTGCATGAATTGAAATACCTTATTTATAGCAAAAGCATTTTCTGGACAAGTAATGGTTATGTACTGGAGAGCACCAACAATGTTGTGGGAGAAAGTTTGATTAGTGAGAGTTTCACCCTCTGATTTGGTGAGACGAATGGAGGAAGACATAGGAGTAGAGAGAGGTTTGGCATCATGAAGTTGTGCTCGATGCAGAAGGTCATCAATATACTTGTGTTGAGAGAGATGAAAACCATTGGATGATCGGTGAAGTTCAACACCCAGAAAATAATGTATAGAGCCCAAATCACGAAGAGAAAACTAAGAAGCAAGATGCTGAATGAGGGTGTTAGTAGTGGAGGAAGAGGATCCTGTAATGATGATGTCATCCACATAAATAAGAATTAAAATGATGTCAGATCCAGAACGGGAGATAAAAAGGGAGGCATCAACACGAGATTCAAGAAATCCAAGAGAGAGGAAAAATTCACGCAACCTTGTGAACCATGCTCGAGGTGCATGTTTCAAACCATAGAGAGATCGATGGAGACGACAAACATGTGTTGGAAATCTGGGATTAACAAACCCAACTGATTGCTTCATATATATTTCTTCTGAAATGTAGCCATGTAAAAAGACATTGCTAACATCCAATTGGCGAACATCCCAATTAAAGGAAATAGCAAGAGATAGTACTATGCGAATGGTGGCTGGTTTGACAATAAGACTGAATGTCTCATCATAATCAAGGCCAGCTTCTTGAGAGAAGCCTTTGGCAATAAGTCGTGCTTTGAAACACTCAACCGAACCATCAGGCTTGCGCTTGATTTTAAAAACCCATTTGTTGCCAATAATATTCTTATCAGGTGGGGCCAGGACAAGAGTCCAAGTTTTATTTTGAAGTAAGGCCCTATACTCATTAGTCATTGCAAGAACCCATCGATGATCTTTGTGAGCTTGAGAATAACAAGTTGGTTTAGATTCAGGAAGAGGACTAGCAAGTAAGGATTGGGCTTCAATCATGGTTTTCAAAATTGGACCGGACCGAACGGTCAGATCGAAAAAACTGGGAACTGATCATCTGACTGGTTCCATTTTTCCCCAAAACCGTTGATTTTGGTCAGCAAACCGTTGAACCGACCGGTTAACCGTTCGAACTGTTCAAATAGTTTTGACTGTTTTTCAAATTTTTCATTTTTCATTTTTTTTTTAATTTTGTTTTTATTTTTTTGTCAGAACGAGCCGACCATTCGAACCGGTAACTGGACCTCTGACTGGCTCAATTTTAAAAACCATGGCTTGAATATACCATGTCGAGCCCAAGTGGTCATCGGATGCAAGGGAGAAGAAGGTGGTAAAACGGAAGTAGCAGATTCAGTAGTGGTAGGTGGGGATGCAACATCTTAAGGAGATGATGGAGATGATGAAACTTCACCTGGCGATGCAGTGTCTGAATCAACAACAAGGGGAGGAGCCCCAAATGGAGGAGGTGGAGTCAAGGATGGTGGTGATGCAGTATCCGCAGTATGAAGAAATGGAAAATAATCTTCATTAAAAATAACATCGCGAGAAATGAAGATTCATCACGTAGAGTGATGCAAACAAATATACCCTTTATGGGAATTAGAATACCCAAGAAATACACATGAAAGAGAGTGAGGTTGTAATTTGTGCTTATTATATGGCCGAACATGTGGAAAGAATTCACACCCAAAGGCACAGAGTTCGAGGTAGTCCGGAGGATGACCAAATAATTTCTCAAACGGAGACAATGATCTAAGAAAGGAAGCCGATTAATGAGATAGGCGGCAGTGGAGAAGGCTTCGAACCAATATTTAGGAGGTAATCCAACATGAGTCATAAGAGCAAGACCAGTCTCAACAACATGGCGATGTCTGCATTCAACTCACCCATTCTGTGCATGTGTATATGGACAGGATATACGACGAGAGGTACCCACATGATTAAAATAATTTTCAAAGGTCTTGAATTCAGAGCCACCATCACTTTGAAAATATTTAATTTTAGAATCAAACAGTAATTCAACATTAACTTTGAATTTCAAGAACACGTTAAAATCTTCAGGTTTGTAGGTGAGTGGAAAAATCCAACTATACCAACTGAAATCATCAACAAACAGAATATAGTAATGATAGGTAGAAGCAGATGTCATTAGAGAGGGTCTCCATAAGTCACAATGAATTAATTCCAAAAGTGATTTACTAATAGTATGGTTTCTGGAAAAAGAAAGTACATAACTTTTGGCCACACTAAGAGTAGGGTGACCTAGACGATGGTGCCAAATCGTAGGGCTAGCACGAGTACCTACAAAAGCATAGGGGGACGAAGTTGGTAACGTAATAAGAAGATGAAGCTGATACAAGCCATCTTTATTCGGCCCTTGAAAAAGTATTATCCCGGTGCATTGATCCTTCACAAAAAATTCATGAGGATGAAATTCAAAGTAGACATTATTATCAGTAGAAAACCAAGCCACAGATAAGAGATTGAAGGAGATCCGGGGAACATGTAGAATATTATTCATAAGCAATGATCTGGAAGATAAAGTAGAAATAGTAGAAAAACTAGAATGAGCAATCTGCAAACCTGAACCGTCGCCAATAGAGACTCGATCAAATCCATCATAGTCAGTATGGATTTGTAGTTTAGTGAGATGTGAAGTGAGGTGATGTGTTGCTCCAGAATTAGGAAACCAGATATCTGTATTCTGCTTGTTGCCGTTGGAAGCAGCCGTAAACGCCAGGGATTGTGGTTGTTTAGGGTTCTTCAGACTGTCAATATGTGCAAGGAGTTTTCGACAGTACCTAGCAGAATGATTTCGTCATCCACAAATCCGGTAGGGATTATTGCTATATTTCGAGGGTTTGGTGGGTCTATTACCCGTTTGAGGTAGATCAACTTTATTATATTTCTTGAAATCTTTCCCTTTAGAGGCAAGATTCACAGAAGGAGAGGTAGCATGTGCAGTTACTAAATGAAGCAAATGATTTTCATGAGTGAGAAGCATACCTTGTAAGCTAGCAAATGGTAATTCATCTGTTCGGGTAATGATAGCTGTAAAGAAAGCATCATACTCTAGACTGAGGCCATTGAGGGCATGATGAATTAGCTACGAATTTGTCAAAGGCTCTCCAATTGCGGCTAGCTTGTCACCAAGTACCTTGAGAGATCATTCTTTCGCAGTGCTTCGAGTTCGTTTCCGAGGGCAACACTAGTCGTTCCTCGAGGAGAATAAAGGCTCTCAAGGGTTTCCCAAACATCCTTACTGGTTTTGCTTCCCATGACTTGCGCTAGTGCTGTTTCTGTTAGAGAAGATAATAGCTAGCTGAAAATATAATGATCCTACTTAACCCATTGTGTATAGGGTTTTGTCATCAAGGCAGATGGATAAGGGGTTGTCCCATCGACATATCCGAGGAGCTCAAGGCCCAGAAGGGCATTTTCAACCTGAAAGCGCCATACAATATAATTGGAATCATCCAACCAAACCGAAATCAAATGAGGAATATGATTCCCCGATGCTCCGAAGTTTATTTGATTGATCGAACTGGTAGACATGTTGGAAGACATGACAAAAACCTGAAGAAAAAGAACTGCTTGAAAAGAAGAGGAAAAGGAAAAAAAAAAAAAAAACAAAGAACTGCTTATGACTCTAATACCATATGAGAGTAATGGTCGAATTACCTTGTTTGTCTTTCACTACTGATATTTATAGAGTACAAGAGTGGGTAAGTCCTCTCCTAGTTAGGATAGGTTAGATAGAATCCTAATTGGGATAGAGCTTATCTTACTAGGATAAGTTTATCCTTTATAGAGATAATATACAGAGATAAGGATTATCTACAAGAGGTCCACGTGTATGTGCCATGCACGTTATCGTTTACAATTTCTTTTCCTCATTAATTATTTTGCTCTCAAACTATAAACCCCACCCTCCCACGCATTCTTAACCATCTCACCAAGCCATGGATCCAACCACCACATGACCTCAAATCGAAAAGGTTTAGCTAGAGGAGTAAGGGAGGTTTGTGAGAAGGAGAGCAGTATAGTCGGAAGAGAGAAAGGTTGCTCTTAGGAAAATCACACCTCCAAGTTTCATTAGTAAGAACCAAATCAAAATTTTCTTTGGTGGTATAAGTTTTCCATTTATATTGTATACCTTTCATATCCAATCCATATTAATGAGGATACAGTGATTGAAGAGATTATTAAATCACTGAGTTTGGCTAGGCATCACACTTTACCAATTTTATTAGAACTATTTCTAAAAGAATTGAAATCTCACATTAGGCACCATACTCTAGGGATGCAAATGGATCGGATCAGATCCGATCCTATTTGGTCGAATTTGGATCACCCCTAGTCAAATCTTCTAATCAAATTCGGATCACCCCCTATCCAATCCGAGAAGATTAGATCTGATATGTATATATAATACATATATATGTTATTTATTTATTTATTTATAAATATATTATTAATATTGTATTTTTATAAATTTGTTATATTATTTTTTTTATAAAAAAACATGTATATATATGATGAAAATAATTAAAAAATACTTATATTTTTGTTTTTCTTTATTTAAATTGGTATATAATTTATTATTTTTTAAAGAAAACAAATCGGACCAAATCAGATCCGAAGATCCAATAGGATTTGAATTCAGATCAAATCCTATCAGATCCGATTAGATCTTCGGAACGGATCGGATTGGACATGAACAATGTTAGATAAAATTCGGACATACCTTGATTTGAATCCAATCCATCTGTTTGCATCCCTACGATGCTCTACCAATATAATTAGCAATTTCTTTAATCCAATTTCATATAACAAATTGCTTGGATCAACACAAGGGGCACAAACAAGGGTTTAGAACCAAGATTTACTAGTTGTTAAGTCACTAATTAAAGCATGCACAATTCTATCATTTGGCAAAATAACTCTGATAGAGCATTGATTGGAATACCATATAATCCATAAACACCTAATAAAATTGATAGAATCCACTACATGAGAACAATGGAAAGGAATCGAGCTAACAATTTAATTTTTGCCCTAATCGGGTTAACCTTGATCTCCATAAAGAAATAAATGCCAAGCCTTTCTATTTTAACATCTCAAGCACATGGTGTCTGAGATGAGGCTTACCGGCATCCTTAATGTTCCAATTTATTGGTCCCTATATACCGTATTAATAATCAAAATATGGCCGAAAAGAATCTCTATTTGATAGGGCTTCTTCCTATACCCACGAATTCCTTTAGACCCAAAAATGATACATTAGAAGAATCTTTTGTATCTTCCAATATCTATAAGAGTTCGCAATGGTGAAGGAACCAGATCGGAAAAAAGATGAATTCTAGTTGATATCTAATAAAACCATAGCTGGAATTGAGATCTTATTCGAAGAAAATGAAGTCAAATATCTGAAGTTTCTTTTTGTATCCTATATGATTAGAAATTGTTGGAGCAGAGGAGAGATCTCTCCCAACCAAGACTGGACATTTCAATACATATCGGAAGCTTCCCAATATACAGGGGGTGTTTTGGGGTTTAACCCGGTTCAGGGGGTAGACAGGCCTTAAACCGACCCCTCTTTGCCAGATTTGAATAAAAAAAAAAAAAAGAAAGAACTAAACAAATAATAGAAATGAGCTTCGGTGAACCCTGCTCTCAACAAGGCTTGAATGATATAAACACGTCCCCCTTCAATCTGCACATGAGAAGGTTGAGATCCACAATAATCTTCAGAGACTCCAAAAATGCATTAGCCTCGCATTCGACAGTGGTGTGTATAACTTTATGGTTCTAAAATAAAGTCTCCTCTGTTCATTAAATGCAGGTTGGTGTCATCATGGATATCTAACTAAAATTCCTTTATGCGCCGATGAGGCACGAGGAAAAACCGTCTACCGACCAATGGATTTTTTTCCGTTGATTCCTGATTTCCACTGCAGAGCTATAAACATTCAAAGGTCAAAAACCCCCACTCTACACACCAATGCCCGCCTGTGAAATGGCATCAATTCCAAGCTGGCACCCACCCCAACTATACTTTAGGCCTAAAAATTCTAACCCTGGGCTGAACCGTCATTCTTCCTTTTCTTGTCTTTAGATTTTATATAGAAATTTCTGCACAATATTATTCATAGATAATATTCACACAACCAAGACCGAGAAAGAGTTTAACGAACTGTATCAATATGGACCAGAGGAACAAACATCACTTGTTAGACCAAACAACCTTGAGTGATAAAGAGACTGAGAGCTTCCTCAGACATGACTGACAGAGAGGAAATACACAGGCAATCAAAGATTCATAATACTACTGAGATGCTCAAAACTACACATTAAAGAAGCATCCATCCAGACCTACTGAACCGTTTCCCCATGATTTGCTACATACAACTCGTTTTACTTCTTTCCTCTAAGTTTCACACCAAGAGCCCGCTCTAGCTTGGCAATTATCTGTTGATTTGGGATGGCTTTTCCAGATTCATACTCTTGAATCACTTGGGGCTTCTCATTAATCATCTGCACGTAGAACCACAGAGCTCAATTTCATTTTCCCTTTTTTTCTATTTGAGGATACAAGCACAAAGAAGTCCAAAGAGGATACATGTGCACAATACACACAGAAAAATGTTCTTGCTACATACATACATACATACATGCATACATCCGTGTGTGTGTGTGCATATATATATATAGAGAGAGAGAGAGAGAGAGACCTGTGCAAGCTGGGCCTGGGTGAGTTTCTTGTCCATTCGAGCTTGCATGATGTTCTTCTTCAACTCAGTGGGTACACGCCCATCTACATCCAAAAAAAGATGCATTAAATTTAGGTCTGAAATACACGTTACCTCAGTAAAGATTTTGAGCAGGAAAAAAATTGCAGGACCACTCGAGGAGAACCTTATGTAGAATAAACATTAGCCAAAAGAGATAATGAAACAAAGAGTACCAATATAATTGACAAGGATAACGGATTGGAAAGTGGGTCAAAGTATTAGTTGACAAAGCCAACACGTTGGAAATGAGTTTCTAGTTACAAAAGTTCCAATGCTATGTGACCAAACTTCCATGCACCAAAGTCCATCAATATCAAGTATTTCCATTTAACTATTAATCGTTACCTACAAAACAATGGAAGCTTAATTGAACCATGGAACACCAAGTCCAATGTTGTCCTAAGCAAAGGCACATCAACTCACTGTATAACATCTAGTCCACCTTCCCCTAATCAAACAAAGCCTATGTCAACAGAACATTGAGTAGGGAGGAGTGGGAGTGTAAGCAAGAGCTGGAGTGCAACAGCAGCCCAGTAATAAATCTTTTAGGCTCCATTTTGGAAATACAAACATAGGGAGAACGAGTGAAAATTCTGCTTTACATCTGTTTTTCATGTTTGATTTTGTTTGTTTGCTTGGGAGCATAGTTTTAAAGGCACCAAGGCAAGGCAAGGCTATGTGACGGGGCGCCTTGTTGCCCAGGCGATGGATTTTTTTTAAGTAAAAACATGTATCCTATGGTAGTTCCCTAGGTTCAATAATCATATTTCCTTAATAAATATCCATAATAAAAGTATAAACTTCATGTTAAAGTATAGAAAATCAACATATTCATGAGAAGAAAGAAAAGAAAATTAAAAAAATATAGGGGCTGAACCCCTATTTCTGTGTTGTTTATGTTCTTCCTTGCGTATTGGTTCAGGTTTTGAAGTCTTTGAGGGTTCAATACAGCATTTAGCAATGTTTGTGTTGATTAAACCCTAACAAATAAGAAAATAATAAAAAGAAATTAGTATATAAACACACAATGAACATTTTAGTTTAAAAATGCCTATTTTATAATTATAACCTCAAAAAATTAAGAATATAAAAGTTTTTTATAACATGCTATAGAAAACTACTTGGCGATTAGGCAAGGCAAGCCTCCAAGGGCGCCTTGTCACCTAGGCGTCGCCTTGACAACTATGATTGGGAGTAAAGTTGGAATTAAAAATGATTTGGTCCTTGCCTTGCATGAGAAAATGAAAGTAGAAAGGTTGTTTGTTTGAGAGGAGTAAAATAGAGTCCCCACCATAGTTTTCAAGGTGCCAAGGCGAGATTAGTGAATGGTTATAGATCCCCACCATAATTAATCTTCTCAATTATGAGTTATTTGGGGGTACAAGACCACACCTTTGACAGAAAAGTCCCTGCAATGTTAGAAGACTGAAGGGCCTGAAAAAAAGAGGCACACGACTCCAAACAAGGAACATTTCCAAATTCTACTACCTGGAGAGGATTGATCCAAATAGGTTGACCCTAAAAGAGTAAAAAGTTCATCCAGAATTGCCATTTCTAACTCCCTTAGCCCTCTCCTAAGTCCCAAGTCCCATGAATTATTAATATAAAACAAAGAGGTTGCTTTTCTTGTATTCTCTGAAAGTGAATAAATAGAGGGGAATCTATCACTAAGGGCACTCTCCTCTACCCAAACATCTTCCCAGAACAACACTTTGTTTCCGGCATAGGCATCAAATTTGAAGGAATCATAAAGGCAAGCTACCACAAATTGCTTTCAAAGGAGAGCAATGAGAAGCCCTAGGATCGAGACCCACATCCCAACCATTGTCTACCAATCCGTGAATGCTCACTATAACGCTGTACCAGAATCTATACTGTTCCAACGGCAATCTCCGTAATCATATTCCCAACAAGGTTGTATTTCTTAACATGATACTTCCTATTCCTAAGCCTCCATCATCTCTACACCTAGAGACCATCTCCGACTTCACTAGGTGATCCTTCTTAGTGCCCCCTAGTACTCACAAGAAGCCCCTCGTGATCTTCTCTAACTGGATTTCCGCTTTCACTGGAATTCTGAAGGTAGAAAGTAAGTACACTAGTAAATTGGCCAGTGTTGACTTTATAAGGGTTATCCTGCCCCCCCCCAATGGAATGTAGTTTCTCTTCCAATTTGCCAGTCGTTTGGTGAATCTCTCAGAATAGTAACTTTCATTAATGAAACAATTAGAGTACGCTGTCAACCACCCAAGACAAGAGTGTTGACTCCAAGATTTAGATTCATCTCAACATTACAAAACTGCCCAAAGCAAATTATACCTGAAGGTCTCTTGCTTTGCCAAAGTATCAGTTAATCCATTTGCTGATCTCCATAGTCCACCTAAACAAAGCCAAACCTCCATTGCTATACAATTTATTTCCCTTTTTTAAGGTAAAAATAAACTTTCATTAAAGAAAGAAAAATCCTGAAAGGTGATAAGGTATCACCACTTACAACAGCATAAAAAAAATACAAAAAAACTTCAACCAATATTTTCCACATTACAAATTTGAAACCGCAACACTTCCACAAGCTTATCCCCCAGATCCTCCCTTGTTATTTGTCTAAATTCTGGTAATATCAATACCCTGTCTGCAACATATTTGGTGACAGCTTCCACAATTTTATCCACATTGTGCAATTTGTCTTCAAAAATTCTTCTGTTCCTTTTCTTCCATATATTCCAGCATATTGCAAATAGAATGCAACTCCAAATCACCTTTGCTTTCTTGCTTCCTCTTATCTCTGGCCATGAAGAGAAGATCTCAGCAGGAGAAACTCAATTATAGTCCCTAACTCCAAACATGGCAGCAAACAGCTTCCATAAAAATACAGATATCTTGCATGAGAAAAATAATGGCTAGCATCTTCCGCTTTTTCTTTGCACATGAAGCACATATTAGACAAGTTGAAGCCCCTGGATTTCAGATGATCCGCAGTAAGATATTATCCATCGCCACCAACCATCCGGATGCTTCAACCCTGGGAGGGATCGAATTCCCCCACACTCCAGCAATGTGACTTGAATCTAAAAGAACCGTACAGAGAGAAAGATAGCAAGACTTCACAGTAAACTTCCCATTTAAGCACTCCTTCCACCATAGTTCATCCCTTGAGTTGACTGAGCTGAAACTCTCACCTCCTCCAATTTCTCAAATAATGTAATGCATTCTTCAAACTCTCTATCTAACAAAGGTTTTCTGAATTTTGGGCACCAAACCAGTTGATCCCCTCTCCTTTCATAACACAGGCTGATAGAAACTTCAGGTTCAGTCAGCCTATATAGCCTTGGACACAGCTCATTCAATTTGCCCATCCCACTCCAATCATCCTACTAGAAAGCTTGTCAGATTTTTGAATTCCTGGTTGAACTTCATGATCCCTTTCCATACACTCACCCCATAAGAAGCCCTAATCTACCTTGTAAACTGTCCGTGTCCAAACCCCCGAGCTGTTTGACTGCAGCCACCCAATCTGTATTCATTATTTCATTTCCTCTCCCCTTTCAATGACCTCTTACACGTGTCACTCAACTAGTTGAAAAAAAAATTTGACAATGACCATATCTAGTTGCAATGAATCAATTATTTTATCATATATTAACATATATAAAGATGACATATGCATGGGAATCTATAACCAGTTCCAAATAAGAAAATCCCAGCCTCAATTAAACAAGTCTGCAACACTTAATTAACCAAGGGAAATGATTAACCAACAAAACAATATACACATATGACAAATGTTTAATATCAGAAAAAGGAGGGAGGATCTGTATAGAGTGACTATAGAAATAGACTATAGAGTAGAACTCACATGTAACCTCATAAACAAGGTTATTGATGGCATCTCTATTCAGCCACAAAACCAAGTTAAAAAAGATCATGGTTCAATGAGGGTAACCACCAGATGACATGGTGCTTTACGGTAATTAGATTGAAATCTACTTAACACCATCAGATAGAAATCTACTTATCACCATCCTTTACATGTGAGAAACCCTATTGATTTGCTACTTATATAAAACCATAAAATTCAACTTAACCATGGAATAGGCGATAGTGTAGGTGTGTGTATAAATAATTACATCATCCAGAATTCCCTACTTGTGGAATAACCAAAGAATTGGAAGCTGTATTTTTTGGGCCAGCCTTATTGGATAGATCCCTAGCCACACCTCGGATTGATTCCTAATCAAGGTGTGTTTGGTCTTGAAGAAAGAATTTAAGGCAGCCAGGCATCTTGATAACACCATGTTGTTTCCTGAATGACTACAATTTAATTAAGAGAGTAGCTCACAAGCATAGGGAATTTCAAAAGTTGGTGAAAAACACTTGTTTTTTTTCTTCCTATTTTGTAAAGATTATATTGAAGACCTAACACCTAAGCTGCATAGAAGAATGAGTCAGAAGTGAATAAATACTACAGCATATTCCAACTCTTTGACCCTTAACACAAAATACTTTTCCAGTAAGACCTCTTTCCACTATTTCAATGAAGCACTCATATTTTAATAAGAGATAAGTTGTCAATAGATTTGGTAATTGATAAGGAGGAGGTTCACTTCATTGGGCTCCCTAGGTGATAACTTAGTTGTGTTATGACATGCTAACCAGTCACTCCAACCACTTTGGCACAACAAGGACTTTGGACTTGATTGAATATTATGACATAGTATCCTCAATTATCCATAACAAATTAAGAAAAAATAAATTCCCTTTACGATAACTCAGATAAGAGTATGATCCATGTAAAAATACAAGCAATGCATTTTTTTGAAACACAAGGTAAAATTTTATTAATAAAAGGAAACACATGGTACAACAAATTCCTAGACATAGAATGACTAAGAAACACAAGCAATGCATATTCACCTTTACAATTTGAAAAACAACTGGCAAATAGCAGCTGCTAACCAACTGCAAGTCAAAAACAAATCAAATAATATATCATCTCAAGTATAACTCCTGCCCTAGATTTTACATAAGAACTTTCAAATTTCAGAGACATAACCAGTTCTATCAAAATGGAAACAACCACCACCTAAAAACAATTATCCTAACTCTATCATGCAAATTTAGAGCAAAAAGCACTCAAGTACTCACGAGCAAGATTTTCAGTCTCATCATCAAGCTTCCTTGTGTTGAGAGAAGTGCTACTAGAGGCAGCTCTGTTTGTCCCTGCATTGGCTGTAAGAAAATAACAAAGGAAAACAAGCATAAGCAGTGGAAGTAAAACATCCATCATTAATACTATGAACCATGCTCAAAGAAAATAAAATATATATAACTGCAAATGTCTAACAAGTGATCAAAATTGTCAGAGTTAGATAATAATAAACAGGAAGATTAATACATAGAAAGCCAATGAGCATTGCAGAAGGAATCATTTCAACTTAAAATAATAACTAGGGCACCTAATAATAATTACAAGAACAATAATGAGAGAACAAACCTAATTTGACAGTTGACAAGAGCAAGTGGCTCACCACTCTGCTGCATGTGTCTCAAAGATCAATATCAAAGGCATGAACATCAATTCATTTCCAAAAGTTGAAAGACAGTTTCAACAGCTAGGCTAATTGAATAGTATCAAGGACATAAGTACTACCTGGATCCATAACCATTGGCATGCCTCAAGGTTTATATGCCTCAAGGTTTCAGCCATATAACATTTCAAATTACTTTTCTTTAGGCATATTTTTTATGAATAACAGAAATTCATTAAAAATAATTAAAAATTACAAGATAGGGAGAGGTAAACTTTCTTAACTCTCCGCAGACAAAAACAAAAACTATTACAATTGAGCCCAAAACAACTGGTTCCTTCCCACCCCTTGTTTTGCTAAGACATCTCAGCAAAACCATTTGCTGCCCTTTTGACCCAGCACTTCCATATCTTGAGTCATCCACTTGAATCTCTTTTTCTCATTATTTAAAGTCCAAAAATCCTTTATCTTCCTTTTGCAACCACTCCAATACCAGCTCTGAATCATCTTCTACAATCATCTCTCTCACATTCAGATCTTTTTCCTTTTGCAATCCTTCCATGACAGCCATAACCTCAGCCCTTAGGGAGTCACCTATTCCAATTGGGCCTTAATATAGACCAATGAACTTACCTTCACTGTCCCTAAAACACCCCTCCAATACCAGATGGGCCTGCACCTGGATACCCTGCACTGTTCCCATCAAAGTTCAACTTGTAGTAATCAACCATTGGAGGAGACCAAGCAGGGCTTATATTAGGTTTGTGGCAATCAGAACTAGCCACTTCCATTTTTTCATGACATCACCTGTTGAGAAAACAGCAAACATCTTCATAGATTTTACCCAATGAACAACTCTCACTATAATGATTTCAATGACAGCTTCTCTACTTCTTTCCTTGTCTAAGAATGGTCTTGCATTTCTTTCTTTCCATATAGTCCAGCTCACAGCCACCCTTACACACCTCCAAAACACTCATTCCTTTTTCTTTGACCATCTCAAGTAAGTAGAAGCAAATAAGCTTTGCACATTAGCCGGGGGAGACCACCAACACCCAAAACAACTAAAGTTTGGAACCTTGATGAATCACCTTGGCATTTATCCTCTGGATACAAAACAAATAGCAACCTTTTGTTAAAGATAGGGATGTTCAGAATTTTTTACAGTACCTTGGCTCAATCATCCATAGGACCATAATGAGGTGGAAATGGAAGAAGATGCTGCCTATAGAATTAGAGTAAGGTGGTTGAAGTGGAGAGGTGAATCTAGTGTGTTGTGTGGCCAGCATATACCAATGAGACTAAAAGAAAATTTTTATGATACAGCTACAAAACCAGAATTGTTATATGGAACAAAGTGACAGTCAATTAAGAAACAACATGTTCAAAAAATGGTGTAGTTAATATAATGATGCTGAGTGTCAAAGAAAGAAAGTTATGATAAGAAATGAGCACATTAAAGAGGAATTAAGAGTAGTTCCAACCCTGACAAGATTAGGAAAAATCAACTGAGATAGTTCGGTCATGTTCATAAACAAACAATGACTGCACTAGTGAGATAGTTTATCACCCACTTTATGCAAACAGTCAACCCCCCTTCTCTCTCTCTCGTCTGACAATAAGAAACCCCTGCTTCCACTGCACCAGTCTTATCCAACAGTGTATATATATGCTCATCGACTACAGTATCCCCCTTTTATTATCAAATAAAGATCCCCTTCTGCTACATCCATCCACCATTAAGGATTGATCAACCCCTTCAACCCTCCCGTTTGTACTATCATCAATAACCCTAGTTAAAAATACACTTTTCTCTAGACAAAGAAAGGAAAACAGCACTTAACATACAACATATTACAGAATGCTCAACCGCACGTATGAATCATGAGGAACTCAAAGATTAAAATATGTACCATATCCATGTCTGAATATGTGATGCAGTTCTGGTAAAATGTATCATTGGCTCATCGCAACTAAATCCTTTCAATTTTCATTGTTTCCTTTTGCATTAAACAGATTTCTTTTTTTTTCATTATTTCCGCAATCCACCTCTTATACCTTGGTATTAGTATTGATCAAATACGAACGTTGCAAACAGAAGCTCACAAACGTCACATTAGAAGAACAAGATAATTTCAATCATCATTCCTAGACAGATAAGTCTAGTATTCCATAAATACTTGGCTATAAGCTTCAAAATCCATAAAAAATCGGAAATAACAGAAACTCTATCAATAGATCAAGATAAATAATGAAGGTGCGATGGATAATCAAAAGTCTCTTAATAATTCGTTTTTCTTGACACAGACCCATTCATTCATCAAACCACACTGCAGCTCAACAACATCAATAGTAAAAGAAATCAAGACAGAAAAAAACTCAGCAATCAACAAAAAAAAAACCCTAGGGACGTATATTGAGAGGGAGATAGAGAGAAAGAGGGAACAGGAGGAGTAAACCCTAATCCGGGGAAAGGAGAGGAGAAAGCGTACACTTCTTAACGGTTTCGATATCGGCGCCCATGCGACGGGCGGCGTTAACGGCCTTCTCGTCTTTCTTAGCGGCGGCGGTTGGAGCCTTCTTCCGGATGACGACCGGCTCCCAGTCCTGCGTCAATGGACCAACTCCTGCCATTTTCTCTCTACTGCTTTCTTTCCTTGACAAACGATTTCCTTCACCTTCTTAGGGGTTTTTCTTGTTTCGACCGACGCTCGGAGCAACTTTCTTCTACGTCTGCGTGTGATAGAGGGTTTTTAACGATGGAAGAAGCTTGTCTCGTTTCTAGGGGTGCAACTTGGGCGGGCCCACTCGAGCCCGAAGCGGCCCAACCCGAAATTTTACACGGAACGGACTTGGATTTTCGGTCTACGAGCTGGATTCGGGCCTATGAAGTCGAGTATTTTTTTCGGGTCGAGCTCGGGCCTAGTCCTTAGGTAATTCGAACCCGGCCCAAGCCCAGCCCAATTATATATATATATAAGTGTTGCGTACATATTTATAAATATATGAAAATATATTTGTATAAATATATTTATATATGTTAATTTTAGAGTGGATTTATTGATCAATCTGAGCCTGGCCTGGGTTCAAACCTAATTTAAATGCATCAAATTATAGGACAAGTTAGTTCGAATTGAAAAAATTGGACTTGACCTCGGGTTCGGGCCTTAAACCCAAATTTTAGGATCGGACTTAGGTTGATCATAAACTCGACCCAACCCACCCGATTTACACCCCTACTCCTTTCTCTAAAATAATAGGGAATTCTTTTAAACTACCCGTAAGGTCTGAAATGGATTTACACAATACCCCTTTGCAATTGACATGGCCGTTAAACAGTGACGGAAAAGAGGAAATGCCAAATTTACAGCTAAATTAGAAAAAAAAAATGACAAAAAATAATAAAATATACGAACAACTCAGTTTGACCATGGTGAACAGCGCCATAGCTCTCCGTCCAGCTGAAACCCCAAACCCATGTTTTCCGTCCAGCTGCGACGTCCAACGGTTGTGCGCTGTTGAAAGACAAAGTTATTGGCTACTGGTAAGCAAGTGAACATCTACTCTATTTTTCAAAGTTGATGATAATGTTAAAACCCTACTATTCTCTTTATTTTATTTTTCCAATGTTTGGCAGTGGCATTAGAGACAAAAATACTTGTTTATTGAAGAAATTGTTCTCAAGTTTCGAGGTGTGCACAAAGTAATGTTTCCTTCTTGTTATTGTTGCGTTTATGGGGTATCATTTGGTAAGGCTATAATTTGCGCCGGGTTGGCCCTAACCCAACCCAAAAAATTCGGATTGGATTAGGTTGGGTTGAAGCAAAGGTTAGGGTTAGAGTTGAAATTCGAACCCAATTTTATTTTGGGTTGGGTTAGCATTGACCAACCCAACTATATAGTACATGTCATATATAAATATATGTTATATATGATATATCATACATTAATTTGTTTAGATTTATGATAGTTGTATATTCCCCACCATATATTATTATGTATTTCTTTTAAGATAACCGCTTCTCTTAATTCTAATCGGAAAAACTAAAATCTTAATAACATATTTTATGTTTTTGGAATATTTTATTCTTCATTTTCTCTCTATTATTTGTATATTCCCCACCATACATGAATTTGTCGCCCATTGCTTGCAGCCCATAAATGATCTATCAAAAATCATAACTTATAATAAAACTATAGTCATCTCAAACACTTATTTTTCTGAATTTTATATTAAAAGAACTAATAAAAACATTAACAAATAAATACTAATAAAACATAGGATTAATATATGTAGTGAAATTGAATTAAGAAGAAAAGAAAAGAAGCTAGGTAATATACAATTATATGTTTTTTTTCTAATATTTTGGTTGTCTTGAATGGTTAATGCATATTAGACTAATCATGGTTTATGGTACACGATCTGGTCGCTCCTAGTTGGATGGAAGCTCAGATGTCGGTTTGCTTGTCGAACTGCAAGAGAACACAATCAGAGGACCCGGGGTGACTTACCTAGTGTGGGAAGTCTGATGCTTAAGTTAGCAAAGAGTGTAATGCAAGTTAAAGAGCTTTATAAGCAAGAGAGCTAAAGAGCTATTATCACATGTACCTTGTAAAGTTGGAGGTGAGGCCCTTATAAAGGTGATTTGCCGTAGGCCTCACAAAACACATCCAAGATCCCCCCGCCCATGCTACCCAGAGTCCATTTTGCACCCAGAGATGGACTTCATGCGAACCGATAAGTCTTATCGAGTTTGTCCAATCCGGGTGGGATAAGGATAAGGCTTGCGGATGTGCGGCGTGATCTCGGAAAGGTTGGAGATAGTTGGCTAGCTTCTAGAAGTGGGATATGTGGCACCTCGGCAGGTCAGGTCACCACAAGTTGTTTGGACCTTAGTCTTGGCCGAGGTGCCCGAAGTACCCAAGCTGACCTAGCTTGCTGAGGTGGGCGGAAATATTGAGTTATCGTCTAGTCATCAAGTCGTTCTACGTGTCCACATGCTAACAAATCGAGCCAAATTACTCCTGATCAATGATTATCTATGTATGCTAGGAATGTAGGGGTTATACGGTCGGGGCCATATGAGTATCAAACTTGATGGAGTGATTTAGTAAACAGTGTGACAAGAATGAATGCCAGAACATGGACAAGCAGTGTATGGGATGTTAGTGGCATCCCACGTGCAGATGTAGCTATGTTGACATTCATTAGGGACAGACTTGATGACTTTTGTACTAAGGCATTCCATGGGAGACTTACATGAAGGTGTATAGCCACTTTGTGTGTGGTATACCATATGATAAGTATTGACCACAAGTAGATGGTCACCAAATCAAAACTCCTTTGGTGAAAAGAAGACCTGGCTGACCACTAGTACCCCATTCCATGTACCCTATTCCATAATAAGACAAGGCATTCATTGTGCAATGGGTATTCTCATAATAGGAGGAATTGTCGTTCTCCTCCCCAACCCACACTACAACAACTTCAAGAACATATTCGAGTTTGTTTAATATGAAATCTTATGTCTTATATATATATATATAACGGAATCTTACTGTTTTAGTATTGTCGTTAGCATTATATCAATGAATTGCACGTGTGAACAATGCATGAGAAACAAACCTCTTTTCCTCTGTTTGCAACTTTGCATGTATAGTATATAACGCGTGTCACTCTATTTCTCCACTTCTTTCCTCAGTGCTCACCTCTCTCTCTCTCTCCTGATTTCAGAACTAAAGTCAATTAGCCGCTACTTCTGTTCTTCGACTACTCGCCAGTCGCCACCATCAACACTGCCATAGGACCATTCTATAGATATTGAAACCCTAGCCCCAACCTGAACTGCTCGAGGTCGAGGGCTCGCTTTCGCCATGGTGAGATCAAGAGATCGATCCCAGCTGTTTCTTATCCTCCTCTCTGCCATGATTTTAGCCTCCATCTCCTTGCATGATACACACGTATCCCCATTCTCTCCTTTCTTCCCACTCTCCCCATCTTGTCTATCTATTTTTCCACCGCTGCTTCTCTTCATTTCTCTCCCTCTTTTTCTTTATCCATCCTTCCTCTCCCTCGTCTGAGAATTCATGGAAGCTGCTCTAGAGCCTTCAGCCTCTACTTTCCTTCTTTTTAATGGCGTGTTTGGTGACTTATTATTTGAATGGGGTTTATCTCCATAGTGAAAACGGTAACGGCAATGCTTTCGTCTCAGAGGTGAAGGACTGAATTCCTTATATCTCAGATGTCTTGAATCACATTTTCTTGATTTCATTTTATTACTTTTATCATGCAATGCTTTGGTCTTCCTAGACCTTATCTTTAGCCATGGAGAAGGAGCGATTGGACGAGTTTTCTCCTCGAGAAGTTCTGGAGAACTGCCTCCGGAGCTTAGAATCTGAAATAGGTTCATCCAAAGCCAGTAGATCGGATTCTGATTCTCGACCCAATCGCAGAGCCGTCTCCCATTGACAGGAATTCGTTCAGCTGATAAAAACTCGAACAATAAAGCGATTATACACCTTCCCTCATTTTGGAGTTCCAAAGGTTTCAAAAAGGAAAAGCAGAAACAGACTCTCTGAATCAAGTCTTGCTTTTAGAGGCAGAGCTCTTAAATCCACCCCACGACTGCTCTTGTTTTTTGGCTTTCGCAACCGCGCCAAATGCCTTTGTCTAAACTTCGGGTTTGTGTTAGTTAAGATTTTAACACGAAGAGAATGCTACTTGGTTTAGCAGGGTGGCTTTCATTTCTTTTATATATCTTGCTTTGTAGTTTTGGTTCTATCGAACAGAATTAAAATAGACACGGTTTAATTAACCAAAGGATAATTCTTTATGGACTTAAACTTGCCACTTATTTTCTTTTGTTTTTTTTTCATCAGCTCCACTTATTTTTTCTTTTTAATTGCATGTTAATGTTAATCCTACAACTTCTCATTGTCTGCAACTTTATCTAATTTGGTAAGGAGACCCAACGTTTAGGTACACCATTACGTGCTGTGACAGGATATCACTCTTCTTTTTTGTGTAAATATGCAGAGCATGTCTGGTCACACAAGTCCAGTTGAATGTGTAGCTTTTGATTCAACGGAGGTTTTGGTGGTTACAGGAGCTTCTACTGGTGCAATAAAGCTGTGGGATTTAAGGGAAGCAAAGAGTAAGTAATATTCTTTTCACTCCAATGATTGTTTTAAGTTGAAAAACACTTGCTAAACAGTTGGTGGCACAACTTGTTAAGTAGTTTAAGTACCAAGATATGGCACTTGAAAATTGGAACTCATGACACATGCACCGTAATGGAATGCATAAGTTAATGACTCAAGGAAGCACCTGAAAATAATCCTGTTGTTTGGTCTCAGTTGGGCTTGGGAACCTAATTGCTTGCATCCCAAGTCTGACTCATTAATTTTGTTGATCAGGACCTTCACATAGCAATTCCTTTACTTTTTAAACTAAAGCTTGTATTTGGAGAATTTTTGGCATTTTCTAATTTGTTTTATGATTCTTGTTGAAGTGTAGTCGTTCACACCCTTACCGGACACAGAATCAATTGCACTGCCATTGAATTCCTTCCATTTGGTTAGTTCTTTGCATTTGGTTCTTATGAATGCTAATCTAAAGATCTGGGACATTAGAAAGAAGGGATGCATCCACACATACAAGGGCCATACTCGAGGAATTAGTACCATTAGATTCACTCCTGATGGCCGCTGAGTTGTTTCTGGTGGACTAGATGATGTTGTGAAG